ATATTAAATACTCTATATTTAACATTATCCGTTTTTGAGAAAAAAAATATTTAAAATTTTAGGAAGAAGAAAACCGCCTGTCAAAAATATGTGTATAGCCTAAACGTCAAATTTAGTGATTACCACAACCACTGTGGCATAAAGAGAAGACATTTGGCTATCTATTTCAAAAATTAAATTGTTCAAATGTCATATAATAATGGCGGTAACTGTCATGGAATTGAACGATTAAAAAATGATGATAAATCATTTTTTTCAAATGGAAACCCATTTTTTTTATTTCACTAGTAAAAAGGCTTCTCAATTTGTTACTTTTTGACTATACATTAATATATATAATAAAATAAATCGTTTTTAAGTTATTTAAGATTTAGTTTGAAAACATATATTTTTCTTGATTTTATCAAGCTTCCTTTGACATTAAGTGTCAAACAGTCAGACAATTTATTTCCATCTGTCAGAAAACGAATTATTTGAATTTCCTATATTATAAATACTGCCCGCCCTTAAGAGTTTAAAAAGTGTATTTATAAAAATATATCTCGCATTTTTGCTCTTTAGTGATATCGTGATATCTAATAATTGATATTACTCATAATATACCATATGATCAAAAAAAAAACAGCGCTAAATTGGCTTGGAAATTATGATCGAAAACATACTGCTTTTTGAACAAAGTGTCACAATATGACATGGCCAGATCTATTGTTTTATATCACTTGACATTTAAAGTCATAGGCTACTGGTTAATATCAAGAAAAATATTCTCTTTAAAACTAAATCTTCAATGACTTAATAAACGATTCATTTTAGGTACAGGAACATGCATAGTCAAAAAGTAACTAATTGAAAAGCCTTTTCACTAGTGAAATAAAAAAAGTGGGTTTCCATTTGAAAAAAATGATTTATGATAATTTTTTGATCACTCAATTCCATGACAGCTACCGCCATTATTATATGACATTTGAACAATTTAATTTTTGAAATAGATATCCAAATGTCTTCTCTTTATCTCACACTGGCTGTGGTAATCACTAAATTTGACGTTTAGGCAATACATATATTTTTGACAGGCGATTTTTTTGTCCAAAAATTTTAAATATTTTTTTTCTCAAAAACGGTTAATGTTAGGTATAGAGTGTTAAATATCAAAATTCATAAAATTTTACAGGGAATTTAAGTATGTAATAATTAAATGGGGGTACCCATTTAAAGTAGGAAAGTTGCTGTCAACTTCCGGTATTTTCGGAAGTGCCGCCATATTGAAAATATTTTTAATCGATAGATTTCGTTGTGAAACAATGATGTGCAAAAAATCTCCGATCTAGATATTGTGGTTCTCTAGAAACTTCTAATGCACGCTCAGCCTGGGACACCCTGTATAAGTATAATAAATATACTGTATTTTTAGAAAGGTTGTTTTAAACAAGGTGCTCATTTTAGACCGATGAAATAAAGAAATAATATACAGGGTATTCCATTTAAAACTTTGGGTTTATATATTTCAACAATGACAGCTTCCAGAAAAAAATACTATTTATGCCACTAAGCTCTACGTGAAAAACTCCAATGGTGAAAACTGAGTCCCATAACTCCCATAGAGTTATGGGACTCAGTTTTCACCATTTCGATAAGTTATAAGATAACTGAGATATGAAGGGGACCGAAAAAATTCAACATTTTCAAATTCTCCTCGTATTTCAGAAACCCAGAGGACTAGGACAAATCTGTTTATGTAGTATCTTTAGTATCATAAAAAAGTAGCAAAGCGATGTGAAAACCGCATCTTTGTAGCTCTCTCATAAACGAGAAATCCCATAAAGGGCACGAATACATATGTTTCCCGTTATTAGTACAACAGCCTCTTTAATTAAAGAAAAAATTAAAAAAGTATTTTCAGTAAATTAAAAATATACAGGGTGTCCCATATAAAAAATCAAATTTTCTGTTGATAATTCTTAAATTATTAATTTTAAAAAAATTATACTTAAACCATTAAATTCTACGTAAAAAGGTGCTTTGGAAATGTTTTCATAAAAATACAAAATTTTCCATAACAAAAAACTTACAGCGATTTGTTAAAAGTGCATCTTCCCCTAGGAGATGCAAGACCTTGTCGTTGGTGGGGAAGCTCCTTGTCAGGTGCTGACAGAATCTCCTCTAGCACTTTGGCTCGGTCCAAGATGCATCTCACTCATTGTCTTGTCTCTGGCTGT